AATTCAATTTTGATACACTGCTTTTTAAATTTTCCTGCAAAATTTTTAAGTATTTCGTTTTGTCCATTATCCCATCGATGAACACGAGGTTTCCCACTCCACTAGATGCCATGCAGCCCCAAACTAATACAGATCCACCGTTATGTTTTATAGTCGGTCGTAGATCTCGCGGTTCTAATTCTGTGTTCATTTTCCTCCAAACACTTTTACGTTCATCGCTACCAAAAACGTTAAATTTACTATCTTCAGAGAATAATACTTTGTCTCAGAATGGATTATTTTCATAAATAAATTTTTCGGCGAATTTTAAACGTACAATTTTATTTTTCTTGCTAATAAATGGCTTTCTTTCTTGGAACACACAGAATTAGAACCCCGAAATCTACGACGAAACGTAAGCGTTCGAATACTTTCGTGTGTGTATGAGTGTATATCACAAAATATAACATATACGATGAATTATATTAAACTGTAACTAGTTATAGTAACAGTTATAGTAACAGTTATAATAAAATTAACGTCGCTTTCATAAAAGGAAATTAAATTTTCTCTTCGCCGATATGTCCACCACGTTTTTTGATTACTTCTTGGACTAATTTCAGCATACATTTTAATTAGCTTTTTTTTTATTATTTCTGTCCCTACTTGTTTCCATGCATTTTGTAGTATGTTCCACATATTAAATTATTAATAAGTTCCACATATTAATAACACGAGAACAACATAACTACATTATAACATATAACTACACTGCGGATTTTATACATTTATGGGAAAATTGGATAAATGCAATACAGAACAATGAAGACATCGGGGAAATTTAAGAATCTTGTTGCACTATTTTTAATCTGTTGAAACTATTACAACGAGAATTACATCCTTGTTTAACTTTTGTTCCGCGCAATTGATGTAGACAATTTTTTATTTTGCACGAAAGTTCGCAATCGAATTATAGCTTAATGTGTACTTTCGACGATCTGATGCCATAAAAGTCGCAGACATTATCAAATCGGGATGAAAAATGACGATTTGTATTAAATAAGCAAGTGTCCCAATACTTTTAGGGAGGCGGGGGAGGGCGTACATCCTCGCGGATCTATTACAATTGCGAAATATTGCAGCGTAAACGAGCTCGGTCTTCGCCATTACGTTAATGGAATTACGGAAGTGTTCACCGGGAAGCTTACATTATTCCCTGAGGTGCAAATTGGTCGCAGCATTCTCCGCAATTCCGCGGCGTTTGTACGCGAGCCCGCGGTCGTATCGCGCGATTCCACATGGCCGAGTCTGAGCGAGCCTCTCCGCTCCGCTCCTCTCCTCACCGCCCGTCACGTCGCCGCTCATCGTCGTCATTGTCTCTCTTCAGCTATTTATTGTTGGACCCTTCCGCCACGACGCGCCGATGACAATGAGACTGCGACAGTGACACGCGGAGCCTAACGTTCACCGCAACTCGTCCGCGAATATCATTTTCCCGCGTTCGTTCGCGCCCGAATGCCATTACCTCCGGATAATTCTGTTCCCTCATTCATACGAAGAATGCAAATTACAGGAGTTAATTAACGATAGGACAATTTCCGACGGGAGACCTTTGTTCCTGAGCATCCAGTTTCGCGACGAAATGGTACAAACACGTTTTAATGTTTTTAATATTAATTTATATTTTTTTTTTAATGTTGCTAGGCTCTCTGAAAAAATTGACGATTTCAAATTTATCTGTCACTATTGGAAATGGGTAGATAAATAAAAGTAAAACGCAGTGAATTAAACTTATCCCTTTTAGTTTATTAATTTGATGTACGAGGAAGGACCGTCTTTACTCTCCTGATTGCTCCAGGAGACTGAAGACTATTCACAAAGACGAAACCAAAAACGTCACCTAAAGACAAAGAGCACTCTGTTCTATATACATATGAAATCATTGTTTATCTAATGGTACTCTGGCGAGACTCTCGGCGTCGATTCGTTTTTGTAACTTATATGCTAGAAGGAAAAACTTCTGAGTATTCAAAAGAGAGAAAATAATCCAATAGTCACGTATTTTATATGAGATTTTAACTCATGTTAAGTGTATGTTATATTCAGTTATTAGGTCTACCGGAAAGTTCTGTCCGATAGTGTCACTTCAAGTTTCAATCCACATGCACATGTTGATTTGAGACATATATGACTATCTCTCTTTATCATTGCATTTACACACATGTGCTCTCCTAAATAAACCGAAACAAAGATGTCTCATGTCATTATTAAGTGAGACGCGATCGTGAAAACATGGCTACCGATGATAATGCCAGACCACATGCTGATTTGGCGACTCGTCAGAAAATCGCAGAGCCAGGCTGGAAAATTCTGTCGCATCCACCATACTCCCCAGACCTAGCACCCTCCGATTATCACTTGTTTCTTTCTTTGCAAAACTCTTTACAGGAAAAAGAATTCAAAACTGAAGCTGACGTCAACCAAGCACTAGTCGAGTTCTTCGCCTCTAAAAATAAATCATTTTTAAAAAATGGCATTTACAAGTTGCCGTCACGCTGGCAAGAAGCCATAAGTAACGATGGAAAGTACATTCTACAATAAATATTATTAAATGTATGAAAATTGAGTTATATTTCAATTCAAAAACGGACAGAACTTTCCGATAGACCTAATATAACTGGATACAAGTTCCATGACAAATAAGCAGAGTTTTTAAGTAGAATTAAAGACGTCACTATGACACAAGAATGTTTTAACAATATCGTCGATCTCTCGTAATTTTGGTACCATTTCATTCGTGCACCACTTTGTTGGACAGACAAAAGAGCATAAGACAGAATCATTAGTCGTGCATAAAATCAAAATTAATGTGCAACGTTGGGCCAGTTGTCGATCTTTGGACACGATAATTGATTTAAAACATGCTTCGTGGCATTAGCCTCGCAGAATATCATATCGAATTTCCAAAACGTGCCTCCCTTTTTAAAAACAATGACTTATATCGCACTTTTGGTCGACGTACGATTTAATCCCGCAATAATCGTCGGTGGCCCGCAAGCAATTTCTCGATATTACAGAGCGTGTAATACGCGTTATCGAACGTTATACAATCCGGCCAGGTATGTTGGATTAAAGGGAAAGGCAGAGTGCAAAGAAATAATCGTGAAATAACATTTCTCGATAGCGAATTCTGATTCGCGAGAGTGGTAGCCGCGAGTCGGCGTACACTCGTACACAGATCCATATTTCAGCGTCCGCGAAAGACCCGTTTCAATATTTCCCGGGGTACCGGGGAGACTGTAAAGGGCTCGTTTCCGCACTTCGCCGATGCAATTTTTCGGCGTGGAAATTGAATTCCGAGGAGCCGTGAAACGAATCATCGCCGGTGTCCGGCCGGCTGGCCGGCCGGCAATCAACCTAGATTATTTTCACGAGACGCGAACTCGTCGCAGCAGCGGTAGTCGGCCCAGAAAAATTGGCCCGGGCTACTTGTGTCTCGATCAGCTTGCAAATCACCGACCAATTAACGGCTCGGATCGATTCCATCCGGTGACAATTGTTTAACGAACGCGTTCGCCTCGGCTCGTTTGTTGTGAACAATCTTCCTCGCGCGCGCCCGTTTTATTTCGATATCCGCGAAAATTATCGGCGATTCGGTAGAGCTCGATCGAACTTCAACCTTCTCAATTAACATTCTATTTACCGGAAGAGGCTATTTATAATCCTCTTCGCGGCTCCGACGGGCTCGATAATTTTCTATTAACCTTTCGCTTCTCATAGCGATTATCCAGGTTATTTTTATAGCACGAAACGGTGCTCGTTGTTGCAACGATAATACCGAATCTGATCATTTTTGTTGACATTTTTATTTCCTTTCATTTATTTGTACTTTATATT